CCTAGATTGCCAGAGAGCAAATTCAGTATGGACAATAAAGGACGTTATAGCTCTGGAGACCATGTTAGCGTGCACAAAGATAACACTCTGAATTCTGCAACAGACTGATGCTGATGGCCAATTCCAAGCCAGGGACCTCTGGATACGAGTCAAGCCACAGAGTGACAGGCAAAGCTGCGCGGTATAAGAAGGTGACCTTCGACCCCCTGGAGCGGCACCGCAGACGGACAGTTGGGGAAGAAAAAAGCTTGTAGTCTTTCTTGCTCGCACACATTGATGCGCATGTACCCCGTATTACCAGTTGACATGTATGTGTGCCTGCAACTGCAGCTGCCGCTTCCAGCCGCGCACCAGTCTGCTTGGTCATCAGTCCTCCGTAACTCCAGAGGGATCTCTCTCTGGTCTCCAAATCCAGCAAAAGCTACCATGCACTTGTCAATGGAGCGGACACAGGCGCACTCCCCCTAATTCCCCACGGGTCCCTGTCGTGCTGTGCCTGGTCTCCACCCGCTCCATTGAGCGAACAGGCATTAGGAAAGGGGCGTGTGTAGTCTTGGGCTCGGGTGGTTGGACGCTCGTGTTGAAGGGTTTTTTGCTCCCTGTGGCCACTCGTCGATGCTGAAATAACACAGGGTGTCGAGTGGTGTACAAGAGTACGATCAATATTCAAACGTTGCGGTTGCTGCTTGTCTCCGTGTTTCCATGATTATAGATGAAGAGGTCATAGCCGAAGCTAGGTTTGAGTATTACGTGGTTCCCGGGTTGTTGGACGTTTATGCTGCGTCTCAGCAAGAGCTGGGTTCTCAAGTGACATTCCAGGGCCGTCTGTGCCGATATTGAGGTGACAAGAAAAACGCCGGTGCTAGCGCCCAATTGATTTATTCCGCCAGGCTAGTTGGTAAAAACGGATAGCGGTATGATGTTGACGGCATGTCTCTTGGCCTGCAATTGGCGAAGCACGGGGGAGAAGGGTCTGGTGCTGATTTCAAGATTGAGTTTCGAAGGCATGGCTTTTGGCAGGATGTTGGAGGATGTGTCTAGGTAGTACGGAGTAGTACTGCATACGTACAGTACCTAGGTAGCCGAGAGGGGGTGTGGCTGTGGCGTGGCGTGGCGTGGCGTGAGGCAAGGCCAGTCGGTCGTCTTGGCCAGTCTTGGTTCTCTTGCAGGCAGGCTGCACACTGGCGCTGCGTGCTCTGCGCCCCAGGCCCCAGGCCCCCCAAGCCCCGATGCCCCCCATGCTGGCCCCATGCCCGCCCCATGCCCCATGCCTCATTCGATGCAAAGCTGGGCAGGGTTCTTCGCATGCAGCTAGCTCCAAGTATTACTGCAGTGGTGCGGCAGTGCAGTGGTACATTGGTGCACATGCGCCGTTGTGCAGTTCTGCATTTGCGCCAATCGACGGGTCGCTCTCTGGCTACCAGGCAGGCATTGATTGAGACACGACATGGAGGGGCCAATCTTTCTTCGCCGTCATTCGGAAGCCCTTCTTCGATCCCACCCCCGATCCAAGGTGCAAAAGTGGTGCTCTGCGAGGATGGGGTTTCATGCGAAACACGCCCGGATTGCTGAAAACTCGATCCATCCCGCTCGTCCTGCCTGCTTCCTCGATTGGCCCTGACCTTGCCTGTTGTGCTTTTTTTTCGGAGTTGCTCCTCTTTTAACTCTTTTAACCATAGCCTCCCGCCTTCCATCGCCATCAGGTCTTCTGCCATTCTCACCCAAGACCACGCATCGACCTCCAACACGCTCAACATCGTCGGCACGGCCTGCTGCAAACCCATTGATGACCCAGCAGCCCGGCCCTGGCCTCTTCAATACCTGCAATACCTACCTCCCTGCCACTCTGGCCCTGCCTTCACCTGCTTCACATGCTTCACCTGCCGCACGCCTCTCTGCGCTAGGACCTTGTCGTCACGAAAACGTCACTAGCACCCCCGTCACCTCTCTGGCTCTCAAGTGCTGCTCTCTGCCACCTGCAGCTCCAGTCTCCACGGCACACCCTCTTCGCCCTTGGGCCACGCTTTGGACCACGCTTCGGAACACGCCTTGAGCACGCCTCGTCTCTTTTTTAACCTTTGCATCTCTCACCTCACCTCACCTCACCTCCACCTCACTTGCTGAGCCCACCCAAGCTTTCTTCGTTTTGCAACGGCTGGTCCTGAGCTCCAACAGCGGCAACACTTGGAAGAGCAAAAAAAGACCTGGGTTATCCTTTCCCCTTTCCCCCTTCACAGCTGCCGCACTTGTATGTGATAGTTGATCAAGACAATCCAATTCCGACAGCCTCGTCAGTTGTGCTTCCTTCTTGCACGACTCTTACTACTCCAACCAGGCATATTCCGCCTTGCCGCTCACGGTGCACAACGCGCCAAAACCAACAACCGAACAGCTATCGATATAGGTCCTTGCGAGCTGGGCGAGTCTCTTGCAATTGAGCAATTCTTTGACATCCATTCGTACCAATCTCGTCTTGTGCCGTTCGACCTTCGCAGACAGGCCATCTGTTCGTCAGTTGTTCCGAATACACCCTTCACATTGGTTGCACAGCTACTTCCCAATCCACCAGCCAACACAACCGAAACACTTGCAGACATCTTCTCTCGCCGCTCAGAATGGAGGCTAGAAACGCCGCGGGTCGCCGCGTGTCACTGCTCAACGACGAGAGTATTCGCTACGAAAAGACTCAGCTTCACCCCCACCACCAACAACAGCAACAACACCACCACCATATTGGCTTCCAACCATGCCGTCCATATCCCAGCCCACGCAGCAACTCGTCATCACCCAACACCCCGGAGCTGCTTCGTTCGGATTCTTACGACTCTCAGATGAGCAATGATCCCATTTCGCCTTTAACGCCTTCGGCCGACTATGCGTATCCAAGAGCATCCCTGTATGCCGCCGAGCTCCCTTCCAAGCGGCCCGCCTACGTCGATAGCAGCCGGTCAACCTCGTATGAAGATGACACTCCCGCTCCTTCTGCACCGCCGCCCGCAGACCGTCCTGGCAAGCGATATCCTTGCCGATATAGAGATTCTCATGGTTGCAAGAAGACCTTCACTACGTCTGGCCACGCATCGCGGCACTCAAAGATTCACACTGCCGAGAAGGCCGTTCAGTGTACATATCCCGGCTGCCAAAAGAAGTTTACCCGCGCCGACAACATGAAACAGCACTTGGAAACCCACTACAAGGACAAGAGCCGATCATCAGCCAGTCAGCGTGCGCAAAAGGCCGCCCTTGCTGAAGCACGCCGCAATTCATCCGCCGGTCGTAGCCGCTCCTCGACCTCAACGACCACAACTAGCAGTGTGGGCAGCCGTGAGGCTATGCAGTGGGAGTCGGATGCTTATGCCTCTTCTGCACAGCCTATGGCCTCACCAAGCACTAGCTCATGGGAACTCCGCACCCACAATCTTCCCCTGTTGAACCGTCCTGCAATCGCCAGGTCACCGAGCAGCGGCCTCGACGCCCTGGCCATGGCAGTTGCTTGCCAGGAGGGCAGCAGGAGACAATAATATCGGTGCCTTGGAGAAATTAAGGCATTGAGCTCTCAATGTTGAGGGAACTTTACGTCCATGACATTCCCTGTCAATTGGGCTCAAATACTTGTTAATGCTTAATCCCGCGTGTGACGACGAGTCTGCGCGGTAGATGCTGCACACTCGTTTGAAAACTAAAATTCGATTACGGACTGTATTTTTTCTACCTTCTGTACCGGAGGGCACAATGCTCGCGAGCAGCATTCGCCTCCCTTGCCAAACCCAACGCGGCGATGGAGTCGTATTTTGTACATTTTGGTACTGGGCACCTCGTGTGTGCCATCATTTGATCCGGCGTTGTTGATATCCAGGTTCGGGGCGGCTTACAATTTTTCTTTTTCGGTTTTTATATCGGCGCTATCTGTTGATCTAGTATCACGGCGATCACACTGGGGCTTTGGGAATACAATATACAGGTGGCTTGTACACGCTTTTAAGCACCTCATGACGTTTTCTTCATCTTCATCTGGCAAGAGACCAAGTTGGTCTTCAGGTTTTCTATCTCAAGTACCCCACCTCATCCTCGCGAACCTCTGAGATGCGTGTGTCATGTCATCCTTGTCTTGGCTGGTTGGAGTAGCGTGGGGCTTGTTCATATTCTGGCGTTTATTGATCTTGGAAAGACTTGTTTCTTTGTTATGAATGGTTCTATCAAGGGGATGTTATGCCATGCAATCACCGACATGAGACACACGCACATACACATATACACACAAAAAATGTTCCAATCAACCGGCTTCGTTGACTGGAAGCACCATACGATAGGGTTTGGTGCAATGGGCGGCTTTTTAGGGACGTACATAGCTTTTAGGCATGGGTGTGTATCTGACCGACCTGCTCTCTGCGGTTGCGTTGATGGGGATTATCTGGGTATAGGAATTGATACGAATTGCCATGTCTTTTGCTCCTCTTTTTGTGATGCTATTGCTGCCATGAAACTGCTCTGGTGATGTTGGTTCGCACCTTGGCTCGTACTCTTTGACGCGTGCTTTTGGGCGACTGGTGCCATTTGGTGTGACGAATAGTTTTAATCAAGTAGACTATCCCCCGGGTATCTATGTGCTTATTTTTTACGCCTACATAATAGTTGATGGTGCCGTCTCGCCATAACTCTCCCCCCCCCCCCCCTCTTCTTTCGAAGATATTGTCAACCCAACCGCCCGCTCACTCCTCACTCCTCACTCCTCACCGCCCCCAAAAGAGTTTCTTAACCATCTGAGCTACCAAACCCAAAGGGTTATGCGGCGCGCCGCGTCCCCCTCTGCTCGCCCCGCTCTCCTGGGTCTGGTTCCCGGGCGTTCCGTCGGCAGACCCCAAAGCGGCACTGACAAAGTCGTATCCGATATCGAACTGGATACCATCAGGGTTGGTCAAGTTGTACCGATTGTCTGCCGGCATCCCCCCGGTTAGCACTTGGTGTTTGTCATATTTTGCTGAAAGGGAATAACGTTCAAACTACTCGTAGTAGTCGCGGAGAGGGGTGGGGGTTAACCCAGACGCCACGGCCGCAATTACTAGTCCAAACACAGCAATTTCCAGCCTCTTGTCAGGAATCAAGATTTGAAGGCCAAAACCGGACCTAGAGGGCGGGGGCAGGACAGGACAGGACAGGACAGGAAACAGAGGACGCGAGGCCCCAGACTTACACCACAGGGAGGTTGCTTCCGGATGGATGCCAACGAGGACGACCCATCCGTCGCCGTGGGGGGTCCGCGAGGCAGCGACGTCGCCGGACTGGGAATACCGCGCGAGCACGGCGTCGCCGCCGGCCCTGTCCCTGGCGCGTCGTCGCGCCCCGGGGAGGCCCTTGATGGCGACGCCGTCCTGGAAGTAGGCCCAGCGGTCCCTGACGGTCTGGCCCCTGGCGTGGCCGGCCGCGTCGGACTGGAAGGTCCAGTCGACCTGGATGAGGGTGTCGGAGTCGTTGGCCACCTGCGTGCGGCGCTGGTCGATCTCGCGGTCGACGTCGGTGCCGGCAGGGAGGATCCCGAGGCCCGGCGAGAAGCCGGCGAGGAAGGCCCCGAGGCAGACGCCCATGTAGCGGCCGCCCCGGGAGACGAAGTCGCGGATCGCGGGGGCCGCGTCTTGGATTTCCGCCCAGGCGCCGTCTAGGTCTGTATGCGGAACGGGCGACGAGGTGCTTGTAAGTACATGGCGTTTACAAGGACGGTTCGTCCTGTGAGAAAGCAAAGGGTGGTGGTGGTGCTTCGTGGGATAGGAGCCCTTGTTGTTGTTGTTTTGGCAATGTCATGGGCATTCAAAGGGGCATGACCATGGCCAAACGAACACAAACAAAAGCAAAAAGAAAATTGGTGCTTGGAAAGACGTCGACTCGGGAAAAAAAAGAACAAGACAACGTACCTGGCCCGCCTCCGTACGCAAACACATCCACGTTGCGCAAGCTCTCGGCCGTCACCTTGACCTTCTCACCGGGACCAGCATACGTGACGGCCACCTTTTGCGGCGATGATTCCAAAAGCTGCGCCAGGGCCCCAGGACAGTTCTGGCACACGGCCGGTCCGCGATACACCAGAGCCCGGAACTCCCTGGCCGCGGCCGCGCCGGTCCACGCGGCCGCAGCAAGCATCACCACGCGAGGCCAGTTGCGCATGGTTTCCTGCCGTCTTTTCTCGCGCCGGCCCGTCCTCCCTTGCTTGCCAAGCAGTTCCAGTAAAACGTCTGGTGGGCTGTCTTCGATGCGATTTCCCTGTGTAGGTATAAACCCCGGGTCCTTTCCGCCCCCGGTTCCCCCTTTTATCAAAGTTTGCGACCAACGAACTACCTGGGCAGTAGGATGTCGTCGTGACGGGGGCCCGGATAAGCGACTCGTTGTCCGCTCACGATCCAAAGTGCCCCGTCTCACCACGCAAGGGCAGGCAGGCGATTGCCAAGAAGGCGAGAAAAACCCCCCGTGAAGCACGGATGGAAAGCGCAATGACTCGTCTACGGGGAGCAAGGTGAGCAGACTGGATGGATTGGGGCCTCGGCCGCGAGAGAGCAGCGCGTGGGAAGGGTGGCTATATACGGAGTAGACATACATACAAACAACAACGTTCCAGACCCTTGCGACGCCGAGGCTAAAGCTGCAGCTGCGATATGTGACTTGGAATCAGGTCCAGGTCCAGGTCCCTTGCGACGAACCCCAGGTGCCAAAATGTCTCGACAGGAGGAGAAACCCAAGACTCTGGGATTCCAGGGAGTCAATGTCTTGGAAAAGGGGGCACACAAGTGACGCGCCTTTTGCCGTCTATTCACCACCCTCGGCCTCGACTCTGCGCCCGTCTCGAATCTCGTCGACAACCCTCAAAGGCTAGAGCCGCAAACTCAAGAGGCAAGGCGAGGTGTGTCGGGGGAAACCAGCCTCGCTATATATACGCACAAAGCGAGGCCGTTTATGAAACGGGTGCAGCAGGCCGTCGACCGGCGTGCCAAATAGCTCGTACGGTGCTGGGCAAGGGCAACACTGAATATCCTGTTGTGGCTGGTCTGTGAAACACGCGGCCACCCGTCTGCCAAACAAAAACTCCAGATAAAAAAAAAATAAAAAAAAAAGTTCGACTCGGAATTTTATACCCGTCAGCAAACGCTGGAGGGATCCCGGAGGGCTTTAAATGCCTGGCGTAAAACCACACACCGTCGCGGAAAGACGCCAGACCGGCCAGCTTCAATGTTCCTTCCTCTTTCATGTCTCGCAACTCCGCCACAATCCGGGCAGCAAGCACTGCAAGTACTCCGTACGTGCTGCCCATCGCGGCACGGGCCAATTAATCTCAAGACTTCGTGGCACCAGACCGTTCGGTCAATACTGTCCCTGGGGGAGCATCGCTGTACTCCGCCTCCCTTGATGCTACTTTGTTTGCAACCCATTGCGCCTTGTGCTGCAGCAACTTGATGACACAGCTTAACAGACTGAAAAGAGGCAGGTCTACTTGACCGCGTCATCCCTCATGCACTCGTTCTGTAGGGTAGCTGCTTGGTTCGCGCGCAAAATCCGTCTTGGAGCCGTAGCCAACCCTGAGCCTTGTGCTTTGATGACGCATCTAGGGATTCAATTACTACCAATGGCAGAAGTCGAGTTTTTGCACCAAGGACAATAGTCGACGCTGAAAAGGCCAGGCCGCTTATGCAGGCCGCGTGGCCTCTGCCTGTCATCTCTCAACTCTCCAGCATGACGTGGCTCGCGGACTAGAACATGCCCAAATCCTTCAGCTGAATCGTGGTTTTATATCCAATTTGGATGGCACCGAACCGAGATGCAATTTCTCGACGTGAATAAAGTACTTTCTACGGTAATATGCGGGACATTCTGTTGTCCAAGAGCTCATACTCCATCATCCCACACTGCTTCTAACATGGGCGTCCACCATCACTCGTGCAAGTCTCATGCATCCCACAACTCCCCCTTCTCAGTGGCAGCTCTGGCCATTTCCAACTGCTCATCCGTTTGGCAAACCAACACTCGGTGCCGTGCCTGATCCGAGCCCACTTCCTCCACCACCTCTGTGAGATTCCTCGAGTTACGGGCTTGATCAATGGCAAACCCAAGACAGCTTGTACGCCGCACTACCTCGCCACGTAGACGGACACTCTTTTCTCCAATTCCACCTGCAAATACCAGTGCGTCAACTTGGCCCTCGAGTGACACGTAGTAGCTGCCAATGAAGCCGCAGACCCGATCCACGAATATGTCAAAAGCCAGCTTGTGCTTGGGCTCGTCAGAGCCGGCAATGACGCTGAAATCCGTTGTGCCCGTCAGGGACTTCCACCCGCTTTGTTTATTGAGAATCTCTTCCGCTCTGGAAATGTGAAGGTGTTCGGTAGAAGCCGGCGACAGTTTGCCGACATCGCTAGCATAGTGGAAGACAAGACTGTGCACCACCATTGTTAGTCACAGTCCTACACTGCGTCCCGAGTTATCTCAACTTCCCCCCCTTTCTCCGTCTCTCACTCTCTCGTTTCCTTTTTTTTCCCAAAAGAAAAACATGTTATGTCAACGTACCTGGGATCAACGCTACCACTTCGAGTTGCCCCTGGAAGGCCGGCCAAAGGTGTCAATCCCATGCTTGTATCCCAGCTTTTACCAGCTTTGATTGCGCAGGCGCTGGCACCACTCCCCAAATGAAGCGCAATCATGTTGACTTGATTGGCGTCTTTTTGAAGAAACTCGGCGACTGACCGCGTGATGAAGGCGTAGCTTAGGCCGTGAAAACCGTACTTGCGAAGTCGGTTCTTCTCTGCAATATCTGGGTTGATAGGGTACGTGGAAATATGTGGTGGAATAGTTGCGTGAAACTGAGAATCGAAGCAGGCAACATTGATAGCCCCTGGAAGCTGCTTTATACACGACTCTACAATGCCGAGAGCCGCCCCGTTGTGTAGCGGTGCAAGATCGCTCAGCTTTTCTAAATGGTGATACGTATCTCGAGTAATCGTCCGTGACTCGGTGTAGTCACCGCCATGAACAATTCGGTGGCATGCGATTGCCAAGTCATTCTTGGACGTGATTTCTCGCAGCTCGCCGTCGTTGATGAGCGTATCTAGCAGAACCGAGAAAGCATCATCCTGTCCTTGGATCTTTTGGCCAGCCTGCTGGTCTTTGGCAATTGCCTTCCCATATCTCGAGTATTTGAGTTTTGCTGGTGGTGCTGTTAATCCACTGACTTGGGCCTCGGCAATCTGTCGCAGATGCCCATTTCTCTCCGCCGAGTAAGCCGATATCTTGACTGAGCTGGAGCCGGCGTTGATGGAAAGAATTATTTTCATAGTGAGCGGTTTATTTGGCGCACAAGGTGCAGCGCGTAACGCAGGCCTGAGATGTTGTTATGAGTGTCCAATTCATTGGGGGATATCTCCAACTTGATGAGATATATGACTGAAAAAGGACGTCATGTCATGATGGGTGGCCAGATGAGCGGAGCCAGCGACATGTATGATGTGATGTGTGTGAGTCGAGCTGCATGCGTTTTGGTGGGGGGTCCAATTGGCAGTCGACTTATCGGCACGCCACGCAGCCATGACCTCGGGGAGCTCGAGATAATTGAGGGGCTCAAATCAATATCGGGGTCTCTTTGAGGTTACCCTCAAGTGATTGATGACCCCACGTACCTTAACCTCATAACAGGGCACATGGCTCCAGCTGATTCCTGACCACCTCACACAAGTGGGCATTGGACACATAACAAGATGCCACTCCCCGACACATCCGTGGGCTTCAACGTGTGCTTCTAGATGTCGTTGTAGGAAAGCTAATGACAAAGCGGCTGCCCCAGAACAGTTGCCAGCACACCATACTTTTGCATGTGCTTGGTCCTGCCTTCTGTCGTCATAGTTCCGCGTATTCTTTGTTATGCTGGCGCTGATATATCATGGTATAACCTTGCTCATACTGACCCCTCTCATCCCCTGTCGTCTGATTCTTCTGGCTCGGCAACAGGCTCGAGTGTGCGAGTCCAATCGGGGGACTCGAGCTCAACTGGCTGACCTGGCAGCATTTGTGGTGAAGGTAGTTCAAAATGGTGCGGAGGAAAGGGAATCCCTTGAAAGTCTCGATCAGTACTGTGAGCATACAGCCACATTTCGAGAAACCGTCGGTAATCTGTGGCTGTAGTTAGACCCCAGTATCTCATGACCCTCAGCGTATGAATGTGCGGAAGGCCAAGACTTACCTTGCCGGCTGCTAAACTGAATGGATAAATAGCGAATGTCGACAGGTTGTGGAGACGACGGGCTTGATTCTGAGCTACTCTGGCCAATATTACCCCCTGATGATCGTACTCTTGGTCGTACCCCCCGAGCAAACGAGAATCGGCGTTGAGGGGCCTCATCAGGTGCGCTTCCTCGCCGACCCCGAACACTAAGCTTCAATTGTTTCGCTCGATCATCACGACTTCGCAGCTCTCCATCAAAGATGTGAACATCGTACTCGCGATACTGGCCGTCCGTCTTGTTTGCAAGTACGCTAAGGGAATGGAACGTGGTATATCGGTCGCGCCACATCTTGAGACGTTGAATTGCTCCGATTCCCTTGACCTTGCCAAAACTATCTGTTCGGCCATGGACATTAGTCCATACGACATCCACATCATAAAATCCTACCATGTCCTTTCGTCGTAAATCTCCCTGAAATCGAATAGATGCATCCACAGTTGTGAATTCGTATCTGACTTGAATGTACTGGTCATGAATACAAACACCTTCGTCGGAGAAGTACCGGATCCGATGAGGTTCAGGGAACGTCAGATATCGTTCCATGTCCGAAGGATCATGGTACTGTCGATGTCGAGAATGAAGTGTATGTGGATGGATCTCTGACGGGATATCCGATGGTACTGTTCTCCCACGTTAGCGGCATGGAAGACACGGGACATGTACACCGGAGAGGCGCAAGGCCAACCCATTGACTGCTGATGGCATCAATGGCAAAAAAAAAAAAAAAAGACATACAGTAATGTTCAAGCAGCTCGTTCTGGTAGCTACATTGCCACAAGACTCGTCTTTGCTCTGAACCAACCACTTCCCATGGGCCTAGATACACTGTGCGCTCATCTGGTGTGTCTTGGAACAAGACTCTGGAAAGACAGTTAGTTCTCAAGACGTATACAATCCATGTTG